CAATGTTTTGCCTCCTCGGGAAGCGTCTCCAGGCTCTCTTGCAGTCGGTAGCGTCGCAGCAAGCTGCCCGACCAAGCCTCATCAGCCCGAAAGCGGGGGATGAACAAGAGATGCTATCCGCAGCATGCAAGTGCAAGCAATAGCTTCAAAGCTCAGATGTTGGAATATGTCAGGCGTGGTCGGCGGCGCATTCTGATTGGCGCATCAGCTCATGCAGCTTGGTTCCTCTGGAGAAGCGATTGCTGCTGCGTATGCTGAGCCACCCACCATCTACCACCACCCATCACCACCAAACTGCTAACACACCACACACTCTTTCTCGTGCTCCCATACAAACTATCGATTTTGAGACAGTGAGGCTGTCAGATTACTGCTGTCCAACTCACCAAACCTAGGCAGCAACCGCGCCCGAACCTCTGATCAGCCAATGAGCAACTGCAAGGTCAGACGTGGGATGCATTGGAGGGTAAGGCGGGATCGGCTTTCCCATCTGACGGAGCTCGGGCCCGGGTGCATATGCTCTGACGGGATTGTCCCGCAGCTTTGATCTTCTTTTTACCACATGTCGCCGAGGATTGCGAGATGTAGACTTTTCCCTCTCTCTCTCTCTCTCTGTCCCGCTTGAACATTGAACTTCTTGATTATTCATGAAGCAGAAGCTGACTCAAAGAAAAGAAACATCTCAGAAGCCAAAAAAGGCCGAAACGTTGAGAAGCTAGCTGGGTAGGTTTAAACATGAGGAAAAAATGCCGCGCCTGAGCTTCGTTCGACACACCGAACGAATGACTCAAGCAACAGCGAGATCTATTTCCAAGCAAAGCAGACAAAGCGGAAGATACTTTCGGAGGCTCTTGTGTGCAGGCTAGTAATCACCATGGAACTGTGTACATCTTCTTTCCTTCTCCAACATCTGAATAAACCTCCAGACTGGCACTTGTTTGCCGTTTGGTGTCACACCGGCGGAAGACTTCCACGATTCCGATTCGTCCAGCGTCCGCAAGGGCAATCCGCCAGTCAGCCCAGCTCTGCGTTGGTCGGCATGTCAGCTGCCGTTGGGAACTTCCTTCCGGTATGAGTCGCTTCTTAACCAATTGCCCATTATTCTGTCAATGCAAAGTTTATTATGCTATTCCATCTGGCCTTGGGGGAGGTAAAGCGGTTCCAGGTCACTGTAGCTGGATATGGATGGCCTCACCGATCGTAGCCGGGGTCGCTTCGTTTCGCTTCGCCAAGCCGCGCCGCGCCGCGGAATGTACGCTTCGGTATCCGTTCATGGTATCTTTTCCAATGGGAGCGTTGGCTCTGTCTACTAGTTCTTTTTCGTCTTCCCTTCACTGACTGCGTGCCACCAGGCCGCCTTCTCCGGGGCGCGTTCTGGTGCCCCGGACTTACAGCCCGTGCAGAGCCACCCCTTTTGTTTTTCTCAGCCCTAACTCCAGCGTGCAAATCGATAATCTCACATGGTAGTATCGCCCTCCCGCGTCGAACACGTCCTTCGTCTGACATGCGGCTCAAATGGTAATCCTCTCCAGCGAGTACGCCTTGACCTTCTGACTCAGCAGGAGTCCCCTCTCACGCGAGGTCCTCTCGAGCACCTCACCGCCCGAGACGATCTTGTGGTTGGCCACGGCCTGCTTAGACACCAGGCCCAGCGGCAGACGAGGCGAGATCTCCACCTCGAGAGACACCGGCTTCTGCTGCCCACGTGCGGCTGATGAGGACTTTGCAGCCGATGCAGCAGTGCTGCCGTACTGGACCGCGTCACCGACGAAGGCGCCCAGCGTGACGGCCTCCTCAAGGCCCTCCAGGGCGGCGCTGACCTCGAGCTTCAGGGCGGTGATGAAGTCAGCCGCATCTGCTTGGTCGCCGGAGAAGCCGTTGGTGAGCCAGCCGCTGGGGCCGACCGAGTCGATGCAGCGGGACAGAAGCTCGGCGATAAGGGAGATGGCACCGTCGGGAGGGGCTCTCGAAGCATCGTCGCGGTCAAAGTTCGTGGTGTCGACGTATCTTGAGGTCCACGCGCTGCCGATCAGCTGTACTCGCAGGAGGTGGATGAGAGAGAGAATCTCGGTGGGGCTGAAAGTCTCCCGCAGAGCCCGCACTGTTGCTACAGAAGAGTAGTTGGCGAGCTTCTCAAAGGCTGTCGTGAGGGTTCGGGCGCGGAGGTTCGAGTCGTCTCCCAGATGGCACTCGGCCAGCTCCAACTCCTTCTCCAAGTGATCGATTTCCATCTCAACGTAGTCCTCCTCTTTCGTCTCCTTGGGCGCGGGGAGAAGCAGCCTGGACTGCTGGTCGAGGCTGCGCATGATGATTCGGATGACCAGGAGGAGCTCCCTCTCGCCGAGCTTGGTCGATGAAACGTAGTTCATAAGCAATTCCATCATTGGGTCCATATCGGCGAGTCGCTGGATGAGCTTGTCCACAACCGGCTCTTGGGCCCCTTCAGCTATCTCGCCCTTGAAAGCTGCAGTCATGTTGGCATTTGTGAGGTGGCCAGCCGAAATGAGGTAGATCAAGACATTGCTGGCAGGGAGGACGCAGCGCAAAACGGCTTCTGGTCCTGACGTGTCCACCGTGAACACTCTGCTGATAGCGTACAGTACCCACCGGCGATCCACGGCAGGGTACGTCTCTGATCGTTCCAACCACTTCCAGTCTGGGGTTTGCACTCCATCCAGAACCGCGGATTCGTCGATAGCAACACCAAATCTCTGAGCCAGCAAGCTCTCAAACGCCTTCCAGTCCTGCGCCAGCAGGAAACCATCTGCCTTTTCTACATCTGTGAGCGACTCCTTGACGTACGCATCGGAAAGCGTACCCGGGAGATACTGCTCAAATGTGTTGTTGCCAGATCCCTTGGGCAAACTGGCCGGCACTCTGTCTCCTCTCGGCAGACCTCGGCCGATGGAGTCGATAAGCAAGCCCTCCTTGCCGTGAGACTTGGGACGCTCGATCTGGATGGAGACGAGGGTGTTGCCGACAACCGACACAGCCATATCAAGCTTTGAAAGGAAAGTCACTAGCGTCGGCGCCTGGTCATGGCCCTCTGGAAGCTCAACCTTTGTCGACGCTTGAATCGAATAGAAGGTGGGATTCAGGATGCTGGCGGTCTTGGAAGACAGGCTGAGAATGGAGTGTTCCGAGATTTGGAGGAACGAGGTGTTCTCGGCGAGCGGCAGACGTCCCTGAAGCTTCGGTACGGCGCTCGTGAGATCGTAAGTTCGAAGGACGGGTCCGCTCAGCTGGAGCAGCTTGCCGGACTGAACGTGGAGCTGGTAGCTGGCGGTCGCTGCCAAAGTCTCTTCCTGAGATGGCAGAGGAGTGGTGTGGATTTGGACTAGTGGCTGCGAAGAAACCGTGGGCAGAACGCCCAGAACGATGAGAAACCTTGATGTGGTGTTTTCACTCTCGGCACGGACAACGATGGTGAGGACATCCGGGTTGAAGGCCTTGGGATCGACCTGACGTCCAAAAGAGCCGAAAGCGTCCTGTCTGCCCTGGAACACGCCATTCAAAACCTCAGAAGCGGTTGCGTGAAGCGCAAACTCCACCTCGTACTTTGCGACTGTTGACGGGAGCAAGTCTTTGCACAGGTTGTACGAGGAAGCGCTCCACCTCTGCTCCAAATCCTCCGCGCCGAGGCAGACGACCTGGCCATCTTTGCAGAGTCCAATCACGTCGCCCTTTTGATCCTTGTTCAGTTCGGTCCCGGTCGCATCCACGGCAGTAGATGTGAAGAGGTACGTAATCGGCGACTTGTGGCGCACGCGCTGCGAGGTGCTCGAGGAGTTGGTCTTTCCTGTCGCGTCGACAACGTCACGGCAGAGAGTGATCTTGGCGCCAGTCGTGTCTTGGGTAGACAGATATGTGTAGTTGTTGCGACCATTCGCAGAAGCATCTTGGTATCGGATTGAGTGCGGCGCGCAAGTGAACGACTCTTGGGGCGGGATCGGGTACGAAGTTCGCAGTCCGGATGAAGGAATCTACAACGGTTAGCAAGGGGCCAGAAAGACACCGAAAGGTTGAAACTGACATGGTAAATGTTGGCTGCTTCTCCATCGACACCGACAACGACTTCGAGTCTCTTCCTCTTCTTCGAGCCAGCCTTCTGGGTATACACCTCGCCAATGTGGTACTGGCCCTTCGTGTGGTCGAGAGGACGCGGCAACGACGCCAGAACATCCGGCCGGTGGATGCGAAATGTGGGAGCCATTTTGAATCTTCGATAGCTTTGACACAATCTCGGCAATCCAGATGGGTAGTTGGCTGGGCCTGGGTTAGGCTGCTGCTGCTGCAATTGGTCGTGTGGTCCAAAGGCGCCGGCCGTGTAAGTGATGGCTTCAAGTCGAGAAAAAAAAAGTTGGGAGGACTTTCCGTAGTGGGGTGCGATAGCAAGATTTCGTTTGGTTCGCACTGTCAAAACCGCAGTAGTCCCGGTGGCTGGGACAGTGCCCGAAAAAAAGCTCAGCTTCTGCCTTCGGATTATTACACTCCGTGAGCCGATATCGATAAGGTAGATAAGATGGGCAAGGATGCGCGATAAGAGGACTGCGATGTGGGTCTGTGGGCCTAGGATGTTAAGTGTAATTGAACACTAATGGCAGTCGCGCTACACGCTGCTGCCCCCGGCGATTCTGCCAACGCGATTCACGCGACTGGTGATGCTCCAGTCTCGACATCGCCGTCTCTCACCCCTCCACGACTCTCTGCTTACGACTCGACCTTACAATCTTGTGAGGAGCTTGTTTTTGCACATAACTCTCTTTTCAGCAACTCTTTTGGCTTAAAGAGTCTGTTTCTCTTCTTTCCCCCCTTTCTACGTTTTTCTCATCCAGTCGCATGCCCTCTGACGTAGTTTGAAGGCGCGACGGCCGAAGCGTAAGTGCCAAACACGAACACCTTTCAATATGCTTCCTACGTTCTCAATCATGCAATAACTGACCTCGGCATCTTAATTTTCAGCATCGCCTCATCTCATGGGAACACTCTTGGTAGCCAACATGGCCCCAGAAGGGCTCGATGGCTCCAACCAGAAACTTCATCCATTCTTTGTTGCAGGAAAGAGCAACGACTTGCCAACGCCCGAGGCAAACGCGTTAGAACAACCTACCAATGCAAACGAGCAGACCCCGATCAATAAATTTGGACGACCTAGGAAGCAGAGAAACGCTTTGCAGCAACCATCCAGCGACATTGAACCGCACTCTTCTGACATTGACGAGGATGGACCCGACCGCAAGAGACAGAAGACTGGCAGTGCTGGACCGGGCTCAGGCAAGAAAAGGGGACGCCCTAGGAAGAAGGCGAGTGTACCGGCGAACGATATAACGAGCCACTTCTCCCAGAACAACGGTGTCTCGTCAACTGCCCTCGCCAACGAAGTGCCACGAACGCCTCCTCCCGAGCCAGTTATTGCCCAAGAAGTCTCCGTATTGCTTCCTCAAGCTACGCCGACGAACCCTGAAGCCTCGTCGACTGCTACGGCAGGCTCAGCGCTGCTTTCCGCGAACCAAGACCAGTCGAAGCCAACCAAGGTCCTCAAGTTCAACCCAAAGACTGGAACAATCGGATCCCCGCCCAAGCCCAAGCCAGCTCCCGCCGAGAGCTCCAAAGGCGCCAAGTCCTCAAAGTCGCCCGCCAAGCCGACCCGCATCATTACTATTAGATATGGCCATGATACAGAGACGCGCGCGCGCATTGGTCCCAAGATACAGCAGATTCTGGATGGTCCGTCCCCAAAGAAGGGTAGTCCGAAGTCGAAGACGACGCCCAAGAAACCTCGAGCCAAAGCTACAAAACTGGAGCAGGATAAGACGAAATCAGGCACTACGCATCCAATGTTTCTTGGAAAGGCCAAGAATGCAGCAAAATCCGACGCGTCTCCAGCTCCTGCACCGAAACCACCAAGGCAAACCATCTTCAGTTCTACACCATGCTCGCCTAAGAAACAACGCCCGGCCCCTATGACCGGAAATGTCCCGCAGTTTGGCATGCGATCCTTGGGACTAAAGGTGCCAGGATCATGTCATCCAGCATGGCCAGCCCAGGGAATGGCCCATGTCAGGGGGTTGACAACAGAGGAAGAACAACTGTCCGCGGCTGTCCAGCAACTCCAGGTCTCTGATCGGAAGTCCAAGGGCCAGAATACAAATATCTTACCTGGCGAATCAGTCATTGATATGCTCGTCAAGTCATTGGACACTCTCGGCATCGCAAGGTCTCTCCAGGATACAACTGATGATTACCAACCACCACCGCCTGAGCTTCGCCTGCCGGAAAAGCACTTCGAGAGTGGTCGCAAGCTGCGTTCGCGAATCAGACGTGAGCTGCGCACATGTCTGCCTCTGGGAGGCCAGAACGACGATAGTGATGACGAGGTCCTCACAGCATCCACTCGGAAGCCTCACCCAGCTGTTGCTCGCTTATACAATTCCCTAGAGGCCAACCTTTCTGCGTACGATAGGTCTCAATGTGAGGAGATGACCTGGGCGCAGAAATACGCGCCTATCCTTGCAGAAGAAGTGCTTCAAAGTGGCAAGGAGGGCGTGCTTCTCAAGGAATGGCTCCAGACACTGAGGGTCCAGTCTGTCAATACCGGTGTAGCAACCGCCGATCAGAAGTCGTCTGGTGCTAAGCCTGGCTCTGCGACGAAGAAGAAGCGGAAGCGGAATAAATTGGACAACTTCATCGTATCCGATGGTGACGAGACAGAGTTCCTGCCGAGTGTCTCTGATGACGATGAGGACGATTGGTTGCCCACCCATAGTCAAGGTGGTCCCAAGAAGACCGTAGTCCGCAGAGACGTTGGCAAGGATCTCAGCCGGCTAACCAATGCTGTTGTGCTCAGCGGCCCGCATGGCTCTGGCAAGACTGCGGCTGTCTATGCGGTCGCAAAGGAATTGGGCTTCGAGATCTTCGAGATCAATGCGAGCAGCCGCCGAAACGGCAAGGATGTGATGGAAAAGGTCGGAGACATGACACAAAACCATCTCGTCCAACAGAATCGCCAAGGAAAGGATGACAGCAAAGCCGTGGACGACGAAACATCCAAAGACGTTAAATCTGGCAAGCAAAACACCATGATGTCCTTCTTCAAACCCAAAGCAGCGACCAAGCCTGTGTCGAAACCTCAAGCCGAACCAGAACCCGAGCAGAAAACCGAGCAGCCAGCTGAGGCACCCAAGACCACCAAGGCAAAGACCCAAAACCAAAAGCAGTCTTTGATTCTTCTTGAGGAAGTTGACGTTCTTTACGAAGAGGACAAGCAATTTTGGGCAACCATCATGAATTTGATTGTCCAGTCAAAGAGGCCCTTCGTCATGACCTGCAACGACGAGAATCTTGTTCCGTTCCACAACTTTGTCCTCTATGGCATCTTCCGGTTCACACCTCCCCCTGAAGACCTGGCTGTAGACGTGCTTCTTCTCATCGCTGCGAATGAAGGCCATGCTCTGAAGCGCGCAGCTGTGAGTGCACTCTACGAGGCAAAGGGACAGGACTTGCGGGCTTCTTTGATGGAACTCAACTACTGGTGCCAGCTTGGAGTTGGTGATCGACGGGGTGGCTTTGACTGGTTCTACCCGCGATGGCCCAAAGGATGCGACAAAGATGAGAACGGCGATGTCGTCCGTGTTGTGAGTGAAGGGACATATCTAGAGGGAATGGGATGGATAAGCAGGGACCCTGCAGTCACCGGCAGCCCCCTTGCCTCTGAGGAGGAGTTGATGACACAGTGCTGGCAGGGCCTGGGCTTGGACTTGGGCAACTGGCATGATTCCCTCGACATGGCATCATGGGCCGAAAGCGTACACACTTCTTCCGCTGGAGACCGAGCTGCTGCGCTTGATGTGTTCTGTGATTTTTCAGAGGCGATGTGTGCAGCTGATCTTTGCTCTGGCGGTGACTTTGGGCTCAGATTACAAGTAAGTGTGACTTGGTCCTTTTGGATGAGCAAAACTGATTGTCTACAGGAGTCCCTTGACCCTACCCAGCCAGATATCTCAAGCAAGTCGCGCGATGACTTTGTCGTTGGACGGCGACTCCTTGAAGCACCTCCGCTTACGACATTTACCTACACTGCCACCGCCATTTCCAACAGCCTCAAATCTTCCGCCCGTCAGACCCTTCAAGCTGCCCCCAGGGAACCCGAGTCGGCAGTCAGCATGGATCACATCGGGGAGGACAAGGCCATTCAGCAGATGCGGCGATCCTTCAACAAGCCACCGAAAGACACAGCCGTCTCACGATATGATATGAGTCTGGCGTTCGATCCGATTGCGGCTTCAGAAAAGGCACTGGCAAACATGTCCAACAGTCTTGAGCCGTCGGTATTCGACAGGACTATGCGGATGATAACACTTGAAGTCGCACCATACGTGCGCAGCATTATCGGATACGATCACCGTTCAATGCAAGAGCGCCAGCAGAGAAGCTCGCTCGTCAGCGAGGGCGGCAGGCCTGGCAAGCGAATGCGCAGTACTCGAAGTGCGCTCTCGGCTCAAGAGGGCGTGGCGCGCGGTAGTACTCGCAGAGAGAGCTACTTTTCTGCCGAGCTGAGCACGCCGTTGGTCATGAGGACCGGAGGAGAGGGTTGGCAGGCGGCTGTGGATATGGAGATGAGGCTGATGCCGCGCCTACCAAGTGTTGCCCCGAGTGACACCAGTAATGAGACGGCGGCGCCAGTGCCGAATGCAGAGGTTCCGACGTTGAGCGCGGAGTAGACGAACATAATGATGGGTTGCATTCAGGAGCTGGAAAGCGGCACGCTTCAGGGAGTTGGTGGAAAGGCATTAGCAATGGCTCATTTCATCGATAGATAACACGGCTAGATGAGATTGAACTTGATGATTTTTTCAGCTTCTTCTGGTCCCCACCGTCTTCAGTAGTAATCTGACCGTCGCCTCGACCTCCTATCATCGTACACAGTTTCCGGCCTTCGCCCATCAGGAGACGGAAATCGGGCTGCGCCTCTCCTACTCCAGTCTTCTACAGCATCCTCCACCCTCCTCGAACGATTATCCTCGTCAAAAAACCTCTTACTACTTTCTGCCTCCGACCTCGCAGACGTCTTCGCATACCTCACAATCTCATCTCTTGGCGGCCCCATGATGGCCTCTTCCGTCAGCCTCTGCCCTCTTGGCTCCTCAGCAAGGCGGTACGTCCTGGGCGGAGGGTTGTAATCGGAGAAATACCCGTCACTCTCGTCTTCATAGTACCGCGACCCCCTGCGCGGCGGCAGCCTCCGCGGAGGGCGGTCGTACTCGGGAACGTACCCGTTGTGTCTGTCGCGGACGACGTTGCGGCGGCGGGAGTGGCGGCCGGGGGCGTTGAGGGTGTCCCAGTGGGGGCCGCGGACCTCTGGGTGTTTGCGTTTGTGCCAGACGCGGTGGATGCAGATGGTGGCGACGGCGATGGCGGCAATGAGGACTGCCGTCGTCTTGAAGGAGGGCTTCTTCTTGGGGAGGCGCGGGCGGTGGTTTTTGTTGTTGTTGTAGCTCCGTCTGGCGTTGCGGGGGTGAGGGCCGGCGGAGGAGGAGCGGGAGCGCGGTGGTGAGCGGGAACGAGAGCGAGATCTTGAGCGGTAGGAGTCGGAGGAAGATACTGAGGAGGAGCGGCGGCTGCGGGAGGGAGGCATTTTGTGAGATTTTTGATGTTGCGTGTGGCAGTGATGAGAATTTTGCTTCGGGCTGTTGCGAAGGCAGGTGAGATGTTGGCCGTCCTTCTCAAGCGGCGGTATATGAACCTACCCTTTCCCTTCTCCGTCAAAGACAGATGAAGAGAGAAGGGCAAACTATCAAAGACGAAAGGAAATCCCACGGTGTGGAATTTATCAAAGGAGAGAACCCTACACCGACGGACAACGACAGTGCGGTACGAGAGTTTGACGGCTTGAGCTTCGAGTTCCCCGGTGTCAGGTCCGTACCTCCAAAGTCTGGAATTCGGTCCGAGCGAGGGTCAACCCGGCGTGTCGGGATGGCGGCGACGATTGCCAGTCAGATGAAGACGCGAAAACGGTGGCGGAGGTCGACAAGCAGAGTTAGAGCCGGTTTCTCGGGACGATGCCGCTTACACAGGGATTTATCCTGCGTTATGGCGTGAGTCGACGATATCAGCTGGGCGAAGTTTTTATTTTGGGAGTGAATCCGGACAGTTTTGATGGGTGAGATGGCTGGGAAGGGGTGACCGCCGGGCCGGTGAAGCGTGGATCGGACGGTCTGAGGGTTGAGGCGTATTTCGGATGTCGAGGCTATGCAGACGGGTGAGGCCTCGCTGCCTGGAGAGGGAAGGAGTGAAGTAAGAAACAGGACGGGAGGAGAGATGTCATATATTTCAGCCATTTTAAGACTATGATTCTGTAGTTAATGAGGCTAGTTTGATCTAGTCTAATTTCTAACGGGCTTGACGCTTGTTGAGGACGCTGGTGAGAGAGGACACCAAATGTGTGGCTTTGTATTACCGCAAACTTGGTAGCGCGGTTGGGATGCCACATGGACCCGTCGTTGCGCAAAGCGGCAGGAAGAACAGACAGGGGAAGAGCGTGCGAGACAACCCCTGGCGCGGAAATGTTCCCCGGAAGGCTGCTGCGCGAGGCACCGCGCTCCTGAGTCTGACCCTGTCCCTTTTCTCTCTTTGCGGCCTGCCTAAGTAGATATCCATGCCGAGAGTGCGCGTTTCCCTCATGTCTTGGAGGGTGACGATGTTGAGATCCACGAGTTGTGCTGCTTCCGCGGAGAGGGGCGTCCCGTAAGGGTTTGATGGTGCGTTGGATGGGTTACTGCTTACCGTCGCATTTTGGTTATGTTGTCACTCGGCCACGAGGTGAGTGATGGAATGTTACCGGAGATTGGGACTAGAGGCGCGTGGTCGTGACGTGATGGCTGGTGATTGGTCAATGCGTGGTGATGCTGAGCACCGGCGCGGGTGTGACGACACTTCGGGAGCTAGAGCGGTCGTGGAGATGGTCATTTCTGATGTTAGCTGGGAAGGAGGTCAGCGATCTATCGAGCGTTGCCTTTGATCTGAATACAACCTCGACCCATATGCTGAGCATGACGACGATACGACGAGAGTATAGGATAAGTAGGTAAGCTGAAGAAAGGTTTATTCCAATCCAGTATACGAAATGTCAATTACATCCCAACTTCTATGAGCTGTTTCCCCGTCTAAAGTAAAAAACAAGGCTGCCTCCCGAAGCATGTCTCCTATCTCTCCTCGACCTCGTCAACCTTGTGCCGACATCAAACCAGCCTAGTAACAATGGAAGTCAAGAAGCAAACCCAAAACATAACAAAGAAAAGAAGACTCTTGAGGTCTAACCAAAGTCTCCCCATAACTTGCCTTCCCCTTCTTTCTTCCCTCGCCCTCTTCTTGGCTTCCTCCAAAGGCGCCAACGCCAGTGTCATGGATGGATATATACTCATCAAATACTCGCCGACGACTGTATCAAGCGCAACCTGGGCCTTCATCCTTACACCAGGCGTCGGCTTCAGCATCTTCTTTAGCAAGTCGTGGAGCTGATCATGCCGGTGCTTGTCGCATCCTCCAGCCCGGGAGTGCAGTTCAGCCAAAGTCTGCCCGAGCATCCACACATCGCCCTCCTCAGACGGTTGATACTCACTCTTCTTACCGCGGAACTCTGGCGGGGTGAACTGGTCTCCAGGGATGTCATTGTAAGTCCACATAACCTTGGGCACAAGTCCATGGCCGATAAGCTTGTATCCCCAGAGCTTGTCTCCATCTTTGTTTGCAGGACGCTTAAACCGGATAATGTTCCTGGGGTGAACATACCCGTGCACTTGGTGCCGATCATGGAGATACGTCAGCGCAGAAAGCGCGTCCACGGCCAAGATCAGAAGCTCTTCGTCGGATATGTACGTTCCAGGCTGGATGCCCTTCCAATTCGCTTCTTCGACCACCAGCATGTCTTGCTCTTCAATGTAGTCCTTGTAACGAACGACTGACTCCTAGATGTTGTTAGCATTAGTCTATATCCCCTCTTAGAATCACAATTAGCGAGGGGGTGATGGCGAGTGACTTACAAAGGCAGTATCTTCACTCAGGGAAACTTCTTCCTTCGCCATCTGCTCAAGTTCCCTCTTTTCTTCCGGGCTGCGTCCGACGAACTTGATAAACATCAAGTTGTTCTCGCCATCTTCCGCATTTAACTGATGACCGTCGTGCAACTCGTAGACATTCTTCTGGTACCCGTCTGTCTTCAAGCCCGTAGTCGTGTATCTGTTTGCTCTTCCGGCTTTATCCGGAACGCCAGTAAGGTTGTGGTATGTAGGGGTCATCTTGAAGCGTGAATCGTGGGTGATGCTGTTCATGCGATAAGATGTTGGCGATTTGGCGCGTCTTTATACCATCGCCATGAGTGAACCGATGCCCTCAATACCGCGGCCACGATGAGGCTACAGCTTGTCCATTCTGGTCCTCGAGGGCAGACCCGGCTTGAAACATCTCACCACGGCGCTCTCTTAACGGTCTTAGACTCGAAATCATGAGACAGGCCACATGGTAAACCTCTCTATCGGAACTAAGGGCTCTTTCAACCTCTAGGCCGACATTGACACCATAATCATAATTCCACTTCAAGCACGAAACTGACAAATGATCAAGTGCATATATCACATACTCTAAATGGTATAAAACCTAAATTCATTTGGACTTCGTTTCAAGAGACCAAGATAAGCGGTCACCTCTCTTTCCCAAAGAGTTTCCAAGAAAGGCCATGGACTCCCGATGTAAACCTCAAGTGCTTGGCGTGCCGGCGTTGGCCATGTGATATCGTGAGATGAGGTCCCTGATGACCGACCAACCGTTGCAAAGAAGTATCTGAAATCAACTGCAAACTGGGCGTCTCAGAGCCACTCCATTCTCGGTTGACTTTCGTCCTTGACGTGGTTCACCCAAGTCTCTATGCCACGCGGCCGTAGTCAACAAGTCGCTTTTCATCCACGTCAGAACGCTCTGTAACCCACAGTAAGAGCTCAAGTCCCTCTCCAAAAACATTCTTCACATTAACCACAGGATACCTCGGACAATCCGCGTAGCAAACAGGGCGATATGTTAGTGCGTCTTTTGCCGCGTGGACTCGTCCAAAGTTTTAGATTAGGGTTTACCTAGACACAATACAGCTTACTCTTATAGCTTTAATGCTGGATGCTAATTATTATGGTCACGAAGAGGAAGATGGCATGGAAGACGATAATGACGTTAGTAGCATTCAATTTCTGTCTTCGAACTAACATATCGTGAACCCAGACAAGTCAAGTGAATCAATCTATGGTCCATTCTCTAATTTTCAAACCTAAAAACCACACCTTTTCCTCTTTGAACAGAAACCAAATTGCCCGCCCATCCCCTAATTCAAAAGTAAAGAAAGCAGATCCTACACAAATACAAACCAAACCACATCAAGAGCAACCTCTCAAAGCCCCTATTGACACGGGAAGACCACCAAGTCCACATCCTGCCCCTCGTAGTCGCCCGCCACATCTCCGCCCGGGCCTTCTTGATAGCCTCCTTCATCTCCCTCTTCTCAGCACCCACCTGGCCGCCCTCAGTAGCCCTATACTTCTCTTCGAGAAGCTCCGTCAACGCGACCTCCGCCCGTGGCCGATCTCCCGGCTTGTCCTGCAGCAACTTGGCTACCAGCGCCTCGAGCCAGTCGTGCCATATCTGCATTGCCGGATTCTTGCAGGCCCCCTCTCTCGTCAGAAACTCCGAATAGAGACTGATGGGCTCCGGGATGCGTTTCCACCGGGATTCGTGGAGCTCCTGCAACATCGTCCCGAGCATCCACACGTCGCTCTCCCGCGTCGGCTTGTACCGTCCCCTTCCCGCGAACTCAGGCGCCGTGTACGTCTCACCGGGATACTCCGCCCACTTCGAAAAGATAGCCGGCACGAGCCCGTGGCCGGAGAGTTTGTATCTGTGCTGCCTATGCCAGTCTCCACGGGGTTGAGTGGTGTCCACGTACGGAACGACATTCTGCGGCCGCACGTCTCCGTGGACGATGCCCAGGGCGTGAAGGTACGTCAACGCGGAGAGCATATCCACGGCCACGTTGACGATATCAGTATCCTCAAGTCCTCGTAATATGCCGTTAGCCAGGGGGCCGCTCCACTCGAACTCGAGCTTATCCATAACGAGCGCGCATGTCATCTTCTCACGACCAGCCTGTTTTCTATCGCCGAACTCTTCAACGAAATCCTTGTACCGGACGACGCATTCCTGCTCCCACATTAGCAAAAGCCCTCCGAACAGCTAGCAGGAGAAAAAGACTCACAAAAGAAGCATCCTCGCTCAGCTCCATCTCTCGTCCGACCAGCTTCCGCAAATACCTCGTCTGCTCCCGACTGAGAGGCTCGCGCGGACTCATGAACATGAAATCGTCCTCTCCCCCGGCGCCGCTGCCTCGAGATCCGAACCGCAGGTCACAGACGCCGCTGTTCTGGCAAAGTCGCCTGACAGCGTAGACTCTATGACTCTCGCCTTTGCGCTCGGCGCCGATGGTGTAGAATGTATCACCGACAGGCCTCATCTTGGATGGAGTGGGTATCTTGATTATGTGAATGATTTGTGCGAGGTGTTCCTAATAATGTCGATTTCGATGAAGGTATATCAGTCAACAATCGGGTATGCCCAAGCCCTCTATATATCCCAGTAATCCACCAAAACATCACCACCATCGTGACCCGTGTACAGCGCGTCTCGTCGACCCGAATTGCGGTGTACAGACCCGGCCTGATACGTCCTCCACCGCCCAACGACCCAAAAACTGGACAGACCAATTCGACCAGACACCACGATCCGTCTCTCATGACGAGTCGAATGGACATGTTCGCCATGAGCCGACTGGGTTATGAGCAGTTCAACCACTCTTTGTCCTGTGGGATATCCCATGCAATTCGCACAATGGAACCAAGGAAATCTTTGTCCCAAAAGAACTCGAATCGACAGGTCGTCTTTCACCTCTATCCAACGAAGCGCCTCTATTCCCGCAAAAAAAAAAAAAAAAAAAAAAAAAAAAAAAAANTTCCCCAAAAAAAAAAAAAAAAAAAAAAAAAAAACCAAAGGATAGAAATTGTCTTTAGTTCTGGCCTTTTTATTCTCTGCCCAATAACTCGACCAACAGAGGCCACCGCTTCCAGTCGTTTCAACATCTATCGACACTGCTCTTAGACCACGCATCAGGCCGCTAGCATGGCTTTCCATCGCATCATTAGCCCCCCTTCCCTGGAGGCCTAGACCATCACGAATATCAGACCTACCAAGCAAGCCGAAAAAAGCTCCTTCATTGCATGCAAATCTGACCAGTCAGCTCCAAGCTGGCCATCGGGCACAAGTCCGGTCCTCTCCAACACTGCCAGGTAAGTCTCTTAGTCATACAGTGTTCGTGTCGATTTGGCACTCTTCACACCGTGTTCGCAGCGACATTATCGAATTCGAATTGTCACTGCCACCATTTCATTGGTCAATGCCGCAACTCAATGCATTTCTCACCACCAATCATCATTTCACATGTTTTCATTTCCAAGGTCCTTGCAGTTTTACTGATTTGATTTGTCTTGATCTTTCATGATCTAGTGCTGTCATTGCTGACATTTGGCATCTATCTACTCTCGTCGGCTGGTTGACGCCGTCGGAAGAACCAAAAATCCTGAGTCTTCCTACCCATGCCAGGGTTGTTCTTTCGTGCAGAGGATGCACTCGGGTAGATATTACACGGAACCAAGTCCTCCTCCTCGTTGTCCCATCCACCAGTTCCAATCCACGATAAAAGATGGAAGACATGATAACTCCCGCCTGATGCAAATTTTGAGAAGAATAAATGTGACCCATGGTTTCATCCTTTTCATCACCCCAGTACCAATTGTCCTCAAGCATCAAAAGAATTCCGGCCGTTGCTCAGACTGGTCGTAAAAATGAGGCCCTTCCGACGCCGTAAATAATGCAATGCTGAAAAGACAATAACCAAGTTGAAAAATCCCATGTAAAACCATGCTGGGAGAATGTGTTCAAGTACGTAGTATTGGGAAGTACCCCCACGCCTAGTTGGGGTACGGTCCCTGAGGAAGGCCATGGGGAATCTGAGACATCTGGCTCATTCTGTAGGGGTTGTTCATAAACTCGGGAACAACTCCAGTTCGTAGGTCGTTGCGCCTGCCAAGAGGCTGGTAGTGCATCTGCGTAGTAGGCAGGTGATACTCGTTCAGAGAAGCCGACGGCGGTGGGTAAAGTAGAGTGTTGACATGACGGATCGGCTTGTATGGACTCGGTCGCTGTTGCAGGTACACGCTAGGCGAGTGAGAGATGGGCGTATGCGCAATAGGGGTGTGGATGACAGACGCCGGGAATTGCTCGCCCAGTGGTGATGAAGCGTAGACTGACAGGCTGCCGGGGCTGTGTCTCTTGGTTGGTGTACCGTAGCCGATGGCAGGATGCATCGGGACAGTAGCTGGCGTGAGAGAAGCCTGAGGCATTGAGACGGGCGCTGGCATCGGCAGCTGAGGCATCGATGTCGTGGCCGCCGCAGAAGGATAGACAGTCGCCATGGCGCGAACTCCGTTACCCAAAGGTGGAAGCGAGACATGACCCTGCGAAGCGTACGTGGTTGTCGGGGGGTAGACTATTTGCGAGGACGCAGGGTTGGTATTGAGCGTCAAGTTGGGAACCGGAAGACGAATCGGCTGCTCGCCAACAACGGGGGGTCGGGCGACAGGAGGCATGGTGCTGGGCTGTCTCGACAGTCGCTTCGCCGGGGGTTCGGTAACGTCCTCTTCTGAGCCTCTCTTCCTGCCGTTCATGTTGGCGTGCTTACCAGACAGTGGCGAGATAGGTGGGTTGTAAGTCGAGGGCCATGCCTGGGCGCTCGGTTGGGTGACGGTGCTGGGCGAGAAGATAGCGGTAGCAGAAGGGGTCAAGGGAGGGAACGAGACGGCAGGCTGCATGGCGGCGGTGGGCGACGGCACCGGTGAGGTGAAGGACTTGTTGAGAGGCGATGTCGGTTGCTTCTGAGCACGCTCGTAATACTCGGAAAAACAGGCCAGCTTGACCAACCACTCCTCCCACTGGTCCTTGGTAGCCAGTAGACTGTAGCGCATGTTGCTGAGGAATTCGACCTCCATGACGTGGATCTCCTGTACCGAGATACCCGACACTTCGGCCCACGTCTTGTTCGTGTAGGTGTTGTCATCCAAGACTAGAATCCAGTCAGCGTGTGCATGCACAGTCAATAGAGAATCTGCACTCACATTTGTTGCCCAGCATCAGGGCCACCGTCAGCAATCGATACTCGCTGCCGGATCGGCCCTTGACCACCGGGTTCGTCGTCTTCAGCCTGTAGACGAAAAGCAAAGCCAGCAGAATGACGTTTTGCGTCACTTGTGTCGTCGACAGAACGCTGTAGGCCCATTTCTTGAATTGGGGAAAGGGCGTCGCATACTCGGTCAGGCGGGGGACGGTAGCGGTAGGAGGACGGGATCGGATCTTCTCGGCGGCTCGCAGCGTGTCCATTGATTCGAACCAGAAGAGGCACGTAATCTGCATATTGTCAGTGCTTTTGTCGATCTATGCAAGGAGGTGAATCTTACTTCGGCGGCGAAGTCTGCCAGGTTACCGCCCTTGGGGTTGATACAGCTGGGGATTTGCAGGCTGTGCAAGACCAAGGTAGAGGAGCCTCTCCGTGAGGAAGTGCCATCAGTCTTGTTGATGGCGCCTGATGTCGGTGTCGACGGGCGGGTAGAGTGCTTCGAGGTCGTGGAGTACTGGCTAGTACCGGAGGCAGGGTTTACTACCGGCTGTGGTTGAGAGTAGGTATTTGTCGGCTGAGGGTATCTGGGGTACTGGGGTGCTCTCGCAGACTCGGCGACGACGGCCTTGGGCCCTCTGGCCTGGGCAACGGCTGAAGGGTAGGAGGAGAGAACATGGCTGTCGTAGGCGACGAGTTGAGGGGCGTGGTATGCAGCGCTCATGGCTTCGGTTGGCGGCGTGCGAAGCCCGCTCCTGCGAAGAGCAGCTCCGGCACCGAGATTGAACCTGGCGTTCTTTTGCGAGTGGGCGGCGTTGTAGGTTTGTTGAGAGTAGCTCTGTCTGCACGATGCGACTTGTGCAGGAGAGAGGGGCAGGCTGTAGAAGGGCAATGGCGCGGCAGTCGAACACATCGGAGCGGGGGAGAGACTGGTTCGTGAGAGAGGAAGACCTCGGGTTGGTCGTTCGCAGCGTGGGCGAGTGAAAGTTGGTCGAGTGATTCGGTGGAGTTGAGAGCGAGTCGAGCAGAGTGCGAGTGAAGGGAAAGCCAAAGCTGACGTCTGCTACATTTGCCGTAGTAGCAGGTGGCAGACACTTGAGGTTGGCGGTTCGCTCAAGGAAGCTTCTTGCTGTCTTGCGGAGGGCAGAAAACTAGAGAATCGAGTCAGGAGAGAAGTCTACCGTACTCGAATGCTTCGCAGGTTCGTCGGGCTCGCTGTCGGGGCGTGAGTGTTTTGTTGAGAGTAAGTTGGTAATTCCGGATTATTATTTGAGAGCTCCTAATTGTTGGCCATGGTAGGGGGCTTCGGAGATGCCTTCCTCAAAACGAGAAGTCGTTGCTGTGGTCTGCCGGCAAGGTGGGGGGAGCTTGCAAGGCAGTTTTGCGGCAGGCGCAATACAAGTCAAAACAAGCTGAGGAGGCTCAAGAGGTACTTGAGACTGGCTCGCGGATATGTCGTGGGAGAGTGAGGACGAGAGGAATGCGAAGCTCGGCGGCGGATTAGGTGAAGATGAGGAAGCAGAGTCGGGCGAGGCAGAGGTCGGGGGTGAAGTTCAGATCGTCCGTGTAAATGAGGTTGGCAGGTGGGTTGTTGCTCGCGGGCGTCGTCAATGAGGGCCGTGATTCGGTAGGCTGCAGGAGGGCAGGGCAGTTGGTTGTCGTCTCAAGGCAAAGGGTGGGAGGGCAAAGACAGGCCAGTTGCACTTGAGCAGGCTGGTGGAATTGTATTGTATGAAGTAATTGGCAATTGAAGAAGAGGTGTGAGGTCAGACAAGGAGACGGAGTGAAGCAAGTGAATGGGGTCAAAAGGGATCAAGAGGCGGCAGGTACGAAGCGAAGCAGCCAGCTGGAGCTGGGTAGATTGAAGCAAAAAATGGAGGCAAGGGTCTAGTGATATGGTTGCGTCGTTCGTTGTCTGGACTCTCATTTCTTGGAGTAGTGGTGTATCCAATCCGCGCCGTGTGCCGTACGAAGTACAGAGCGTATGGGTCGTTGTGGTAAGGTACAGGAGGCATGGCCGTGGCATGGGACAGCATGGGATTGGGGGAGAGAGAGGGGGGGGGGGGGGGGCCANGGGGGGGGGGGGGGGGGGGGGGGGGGGGGGGGGGGGGGGGGGGGGGGGGGGGGGGGGGGGTCGCCATGGATGGATAGGGAAGGCTTCACGGTGGGCAGGTACCTTGTTCCATGTCGTCAGGTACGTACCTACCTTTCGTGAGGTGAGGTTTCTTACAGCGGTAGGTTCCCTGCGATGATGAGGTGGAAAGAGTGAGAGGGGAGGGGGCAGGAGGGAC